GAGCCGGGAATTGGGGGGGGGGGCGGTGGCGACAGATGCAGCATGAAGCAGAATTGGGGTTCTCAGTGCTTTCCCGGGGGAGATACCTCAGAGGTCCCTTGAATGGGACTCTATCTGCCAATTCTGGAATCCATCAAGGGTTCGTGATCTCTTGCTGGTATCAGATTCTTCATGTCACTGTAACACAGGTGGCACATGACCTTGTTGACCTTGCATGTCATCCGACAGAACTCAGGACTTCTTTCTTGTTCTTGGCTGGAGTTGGGCAGAAACGTCCCCTTCTAAACAGGCCACGTGTGTGCAGCCCGCTTCTTGACCTTGACATCGACCTTGCTCACCTAGCCCTTGGGCATTTGAGCCGGAGACCCCTGTTGTGGCGCCCTAATAAAGCAGATGGATGCACGGGGCGCAGAGGGCTCGGGGCTCCAGGCTTATCCAACCCCAGAGCGAGAGAAGTAATTGAATAAACCACGAAGCGTTGAGGGATTCCTGGCTGTCCCCAGCTACCTGGGTGAGAGTCGGACCTGGTACGTTCTCCCAACAACCCAGGAAACACGGCAGCCTGTTCTTGAAGAAGAGCTTCGCCTTCTTCCCCCTGAGTTTGCCAAACAGAAACGAGGGGGTGTTTATTTGTTTCACAAAAAGGATCATCTAGTTTGTTTCTTAAAATAGCCAGCCCCACTCCTTTCTTGAAAGTGTTTTCGTTAATGAGGAATCTGATGTGCTTGACTTCTCCGTAACATTCCAGAGTAGAGGAATTACCTGCTCTGCAAGCCCCACCTCCCCCAGGCTGTTCCCAGCTGCTCCACAGCGTGTGCTGGGTGGGGTGGGGGGAGGAGAGGCCGGTCACTTGACACATTGATTCCCGCCCAGTGGGTATGGCTTGTTGATCTCCGTGGCCGGTTGGAAGGATGCCTCAAGAGATGTTATCCATGGTGGATGGATGTCCTGTCACTCTCCGCCGTGGTGACCACCTATGGATGCAATGCCCCATCAGGACATGACCCCAGAATTATGGTTGCTTCTCTTTCATGGCTGGGGATATTCATTCTCTCCCCCACTCACTCGCCAAACATCCATTTGCTGAATATCAGTTATGTACGTGGAGTTGGGAATAGATGCTAGGAGGCTAGAGATGGGTCTCTCTAAAAAAAAGTGCATCAGGATAAGTAAGGTCAGAGTGGATATTTTGGAAGGTTGGAAGCAAGCTTCTAGAACAGATCACCTACTTGAAAATGGGGGGGGGGACAATTCCCAAATTGTTTTGGGTCAAGGAGGGAATCTAAACCTCTGTCAGAGACCACTGGGAAACTTAAAATAATGGAGCTAAATAGAAAAGACAAGATGCATCCAGAATGGTACTTAAAAGAGACGTCTTTAGCCTTAAAGTCTTTAAATTTTTAATGAAGAGGAACGGGAGTGAATTAACTGGTCAATTCAAACAGCTTTGAAAAGAGCAGTGCGTGATGGTCGCAGACATTTGTAGAAAACTCACTCCGCGGTAGACCCAGTTCTGAGTGTGGGTGAATTCCTCTAAGTCTGACCATGCCACCGTTTTGGGGACTGTTATCATTATTATCATAGTGCAGAGAGGAAGCGGAAGCCTGGGGGATCACATAATATACCCCCTCCTATTAAGGTTTGGACAGAGGATCCAAACCTGGCCACCTGACTGCAGAATTCATACTCCCAACCAATGCATGATATAATGCAAATGCAGGTATGTACGACGAAGGGGTGGGGGGAAAAAAAGCAAGACTAACAATTCATAAAGTAGAATAAAACCCAGAGGAATTGATAAACATACCCACAAGCTGCTGCTTTCAAATGATAGCATGATAGTTAACAAAGAAGATGAGCCAACTGAAAACTCACACCAAAGTTGTTATGAATGAAAACACGCTTACACACACATGCACTGAAATTCTATTGCTTTCTCTTTGAAAATATATATATTTTTTTAGTTGTAGATGGACACAGTACCTTTATTTTATTTATTTATTTTTATGTGTTGCTGAGGACGGGACCCAGGGCCTCACAGGGGCTAGGTAGGCGCTCCGCCTCTGAGCTACAACCCCAGCCTCCTATTGCTTTCTTGTTTGCAAACAAAGACCAGTTGGCAAACAAAATGGAAAAACGTCAAATTCACAATAGCATTAAAAAAAAAGTCCAAAAAGAAAAAGGATCCCTCAGATGATACTAAGCAAGAAATGTGCAGAAACGATATGGAGAAAACTCAAGACTTTCTTGGGGGGATGTAAAATAAGACTTCAAACAAGATAACGATCAATTCCTGGGGGAATGACCTGGGGTTATCCAAACGTCCATTATCTTGAATTTATTTCCTAAATTTTAAGATCATTTCACTCAAAGTCCCAATCATTTTTTTTGGGGGGGGGGGATGCAGGGACGGTCTTAGTGCAATTCCAGTAAAAAATTTCCTCTGATTTTTTAAAAATCTTGATGAAACAAATTCTAAAGTTCTCTTGGAGAATAAGCATGCGGTGATAGCTAAGAAAGTGTTGAAAATCAGGATAATGAGAGAGGACTTCCCTGCCAAGATGCAGCCTATTACAGAGCTACTATAATTAAAGCCCCTATTGCCATACTTCAAGACAGATCAGTGGAAAAAACAGGAGGCCCAGAGACAGACTGCAGTGTGTGTAATTATTGAACTATAATAAAGTTGGCATTTGAGGTCTGTGGGAAAGGGATGAATTATTCAATCAAGGTGCTGGGACAATTGGTTACCTATTTTGAAGAAAAAAAAAAGGGCAAATTAGATTCTCATTTCGCATCAGGTTCCAAGACATTGGGGATGGATTAAAATGAAGAGGAAAAAGAATAATATTTATGTGACCTTAGTGCATGAAAGCTTTTGAAACATAGTATCCTTTGCTTAGTTTTTCCTCACAAGTTATATTGTGTATTTCTGTTCTGACTTCTAGCCTTGTTAACACACACATTGAAGCTTATAATGTCCTCTGTGTGGTTTTTTTCAATCCCTATCATCTCTCAAGGAATGGAAAACTCAGTGTTTCAATTTTATAGCACACTTTCTTCTTTTTTAGAGGGGGGGGGGTATCGGGGATTGAACTCAGGGGCACTCAACCACTGAGCCCCATCCCCAGCCCTATTGTGTATTTTATTTAGAGACAGGGTCTCACTGAGTTGCTTAGCACCTCACTGTGGCTGAGGCTGGCTTTGAACTCTCAATCCTCCTGCCTCAGCCTCCCGAGCTGCTGGGATGACAGGCCTGCGCCAACATGCCTGGCTCAATTTTATTCCCACATCTTATGACTTATGTTCTCTGTGTCTCTGTTTCATTAAATTTTATATGTATGGAAAGTATAAAAATGTAGAAAAGTTGACAGATTAATACAATGAATCCTCGTGTACATCACCCAGGTTCAATCAAATGACCTGTTAGAACCAATGTTTTTCATCAATAACCCTAACCCCAGCATACTGAATTATTTTAAATTAAAGTATTTTTAAAAGTATTTATTTTTTTAGTTATAGGTGGACACAATATCTTCATTTTATTTTTATGTGGGGCTGAGGATCGAACCCAGTGCCTCGTGCATGTGAGGCGAGCACTCTTCCTCTGAGCCACAATCCCAGCCCCATGAATTAAAGTATTTTATCTACAAAGAGTTTAAGATGTATCCGCAGGGATAAGGATTCTGTTTTTTTAAAGCCACAATACCATGATTACACCAAATTTTTTCTATTTCCCTAATATCAATTATAATAATTCTCTACTATCTTTAAAAAAAATAGCCAATGTATCATTTCCCTGATTGCCTCATAATTTTTAAAACTATTTGTTTATGCAAATTAGGATTCCAAGAAGGTCCACCATATATTGCATTTAATGGATCTGTTTCTTTTATCTAACTGTCTATCTATCTATCTATCTATCTATCTATTTATCTATCTATCTATCTTTAGATGTTGATGGACCTTTATTTGATTGATTTATTTATATGTGGTGCTGAGAGTCGAACCCAGTGCCTCACACATGCTAGGCAAACACTCTATCACTGAACCACAACCCCAGACCAGATCTGTTTCTTAAATTTGTTTGAATATGTAAGTTTCTCCTCTGTTTCCTCCCTCTTGCAGTTTGTGGAAAAAAAACCCATATTGCTTTTGAACTTGCCCATATTCTGTTCCTTTTGTGTGAGTGCAGGATTGGAGGTTGGGCGATGGCTTCTGTGTGGTGTCATTGAACATGATTCCCCCGTGGCCTGTATTTTTTTGTAAATTTGCAGTTGCATTAAGAGGCCTGAACTGACACAGACTTGGTGACTTGGCTGAGTCCTTCCTAGATGGCGGGGTCAGTTTTTGTCGAGGCCGGTGGTAGCGTTTTGCAATTGCTGATGGTTGTCTGGATGCATTCTATCACTAGGGGCTAGCTTTCATGTACGCAGCAAGCACCTTAGAAAGGCTCTGAGCGGGTCCCGAAAGCTTGGTGCCCGTCCTCCTGGAACCAGGAGATTATAAAAGACAAAACTAAAAAACAGATTCAAACAAACAAACAAAAAATCACTTGTATTTTGCATGTATTGTCTGGCCACGCCTTCCTCTGACCCATCTCCAGATAGCAGAGCCACACCGTGGAGGCATTTAATGCTCGTAATTCCACTACGCACGCGTGGAACTAAACACAGTCTGCTTCATCCGCTGCCTGATTTAAGAAACAGTGTTGCATTTTCAGCCCATGGAAGTCTAGACCCTTTGAGGGATCCTCAGGTGACCGGAGCATATGTGATCTTTTGAGCCCCAGTTAACCCCAGTCAACACCAGGGCGCGAGGGGCAACCTGCGTCTACACGAGAGTTTACCATCCACAAAGGACAAAATGCAGAGCGTTCTTGTTTATTTTGGCGTGAGACCTTTTCCTGGGTGAAGTCCAAGTTTGACCATCTCTCCGCACCCTGGACCCCTCCGGCTCCTTCTTCCCAGCCTCTCACCCTGTCTTCTCCTCTTTTGCAGTTTGCTGCTTTGTCGTGCACAAGCGGTGTCATGAATTCGTCACATTCTCCTGCCCCGGCGCGGATAAGGGCCCAGCCTCTGATGTAAGTAATGCGCCTTGGTGGCTTTTTTTTGTGTCCCGAGGTGGCACGTTCTTCTGCATGAATGCTCGCGGTGTGCTTAGACGGACGGGTGGGGCTCTTGTCACTCTAAGGCCTTGGTGGCGACAGTCCTTACAGTGGGGGAAACCACGAACCAAAATGTATGGAGAGAGGCCTTGGCTGGACAGAGTTTCCCTGCTATGATTCTGCTAAACGTCTTTACCCTTGAAGCCGGGTACAGGGTGTGTGCAAGCTCTTCCTGGTTGGCCTCCTGGACAAGGTAGTTTGGGGGCAACCTTCAATGCACTTTATAGTTCTGAGTTCGGGGGGGTCTTGATATCGAGGACCAAGAATTAGGAGGAAATGAGTTAATCCCCCAACTGGGCACCACAAAGTCTGTTGGGAGGTCGGGAAGCTAGACAAAGACTCTTTGTTTGGATCCTCATGAACTTATTTTAATATGGATTAGAAAACCATATTTCATAGCGTTTTTATACTTACTGTAGGGATATGAAATTTCCTACCTCAGTAAAGGTTTTGGGGGTTCAGCAAATATGAGTCGATTGAAGGAAGATATTTAGCCAATGACAGGATGAGACGGATACGGCAAAAGTTTGGGTACAAAGTTTGTCCCAAGTTTGGGGTACTTGGTCGATTGCCGACACAATAGCAATTTCTAGATCTCACCCTCTTCTTTCCTTTGGGCAGAGTCTGCTTTTCATGCCAGAAATTGAAAATGTCTGAGACCTTGTGTTCCCAGAAACTGAGAATGTGTGCCCCAAACCTGCTGTTGGGACCTGAGGGGAAGGCTGGGGGAAGGCTTCCAGGAAAAAGTTTTCCTTTCTTTTAAGGAAGAGACATCCCTTCCTTTTACTTTCGGATATTTTTGTGTCAGGATGTGTGCTTCAGCGTTGTGGCAGCTCTTTTGGGTCCACAAGGGAGACACAGCGGGTTTCCTGAGCATGGCAGAGTGGAAGAGTTGAAGGAACAGGGGTCGCTGATGACACTGTTGAGCTGCTGAGTCCCTTCTGAGCCTTCTTATCCCCCAATCAAAGAGATGAGACGTTCTCCTTGGTCAAGTATCTTGGGGTATTCTTTTCTATGCAGCTAGAACTGCCTCATTGCCAGGGCTTTCTGCTGTTCAGTGAGGAACTGCATTCAGCATGCCCCATGCCCCACGCCTCACTCCTAATTCCCTTGTTTTCTGCTGCTTTCTAGAATTTTCCCCACTGGCTTAGTCTCAGGTCCTGTGATGCACAAAACTGACCGCTGACCTCGGATTGTCTGAAATGAGTGGTGATGACCTTCTGTCCCTGAATGTCCTGTTAGCCTCCTACCAGTGTTCCATGGCCATTTTGCTGAAACTCAGGGGGCATCTCTGTTGCTCTGTTCATGCGCACACCTGAGAGTCCGAGCTGCTGACCCTTCACCTGGAGAACAAGGTGCAGAACTCCACCCAACCTAGCACAGCCCCGCGCCCCTGCGGCTCTGTTGGCCGAGATGAAAGTTGGAACCGTTGGCCACGTTCTCTGCCCCCTACTCCCTGGCCCTTCGAGGGCTGTTTTTCTGCTGTTCCCTAGGAAACCAGGCGGGGCGGTGGGGGCGGGGGGTCTGGGGCGATGCCTGACCCCCTTACGCAGCTCTCAGATCAAACCAAGACCTGACGCCGAGGTGGTAGGCAAGGGGCGTCATTCCCATGTTCTGCCTCTCTCTGTCCGATGTATCTGTTGCCCGAGTCAGAAACTCAGTTCAGGCTGGATTTCATGAAAAGGGACATTTTTGGTCCCTGGAATGGAAAAGCCCGAGGACTGGCTTTAGGCACCGTACATCAAAAATAAAGTCCTCAGGATCCTCTTTCTCTGCTTCTCGGCTCAGCCTTCCTCGGGGTTGGTCTCATTTCCAGGAAGGCTTTGTGGCAGCAGGATGGCGCTCACACCTTTCGCCTTAGATCCTCTCTGCACTGCAACCCCAGGGCCGAGACCTAAGGTCTCAGTGGACCACAAGTCACGTGGAACCTGAACGATGGCTGAAGCCGATTGGCTACGCTGGCTTGGTCACGCGCTGCTGTGGTTTCGGAATGCTTTGTCGCCCTCCCCAAATTCATGGGTTGGCATCCTAGGCCCCAAGGTGATGGCATGAGGAGGTAGGGACCTTGGAATGAAATGAATGCCTTATTAAGAGGGACCCCAGAGAGATGCCTCACCCCTTCCACCCTGTGAGATAACGGCCAGAAAGCAGCTGTGGAACGAGGAGACGAGTCTGCCCGTGCCTTCCCCTTGGGCTTACCCTCCAGAACCTGGTATTTCCTCATTACCACCCGGTTTTTAGTATTTTGGTATTTCATTATCAGCGATCCCGGCTGAAGATTTTGTGTTCTGGGGGCTTTGCAATCGGGCCAGTTCCTCCGGAAGATGGCCTGGCTCCTCCGAGTCAGCCTGCGGTCTCTGGTGCCGTTTCTCTAAAGCCCAGGATCGACGGGTCCAGGAATCCAGGAATGGGGTGACATCGCTCTCCATCACCCCTGGTGACCTGTTAGCCATAGTTTTGCTGCCTCGTCCCACGGATTTATGCTCTGCCGGCCCTAGAGGTCGCAGCTGCGGCAGGAGAGCTGCTCGTCCCAGGGACTTGTGCGATGATTCTGTTGGAACTGGAAGTTAAGGCCACCAGCTGGCCACGTGGGGGGCCCCTCGTGCCTCGGTGTCAACAGGTCAGGAGAGAGGAATGGAGTTGGCTGGGGTGATTGCGCTGGACTCACCCTGGGAAGCCGGACTACTCCACAACAGAGCAAGAGAAGACCGCGTCTGGAATACAGGGCTCCCTTAGGGCGTCTCTTCGTACCGCGATTGGGGTCAACGGGCAACGACAGCAGCCCGGGCCCGCAGGGTTAAGGGGAGAAAGTTTGGGTCACCCTGCCCGGGGCTTGCTGAGAGCCAAAGGGAAACACATGGGAAGCAGGAAGTGGTTTTAAGTACCACTGATGACCCTGTGACCAGCTACAGCATAAAGACTGATTGGGAATTCTCTCTGAATTTTGTTATGGATCCATTTTGTATACATATATACACACACAAATATGAAGCAATCATCTTTGTTTTCTTCCCTGTCTTAGTCTCTTATCCTTGATCATATGATGCACTGATTTCCTATCAGTATTTCAGCACGGTGGATTTGACGTGTCGGTACTTACGATGCAGGATTTCCAGAGAAGAGAAACAGATGCTCGGGGACTTTAACCTCCTCTGGGGAAGGGATTGGTGTGTTTTTCAGTTGTGCAAGGTCTTGTTGTATTGACTCGGGTGGAATTACAGCCTTGTTGTTATTATTATTATTATTTTAATTTTGGAAATTTCAGTTGGGTTTGAAGGGATGGGGGAGGGTGCCGGGTGGAGCCAGGCTAGGCTGGTGCCGGTGAATTCCATGTGTCAACTTGACTGGGCTACGAGATGCCCAGATTGCTTTGAAAACCGTATTCTGAGGTCTATGAGGGTGTTCCCAGAAGGGATCAGTGTTTCAGAGGGTGGACTGAAGAAGGAAGATTGCCTTCACCAGTGTAGACGGGCATCCCTAGACTGTTGAGGGTCCAAATAGAACAGAAAGGTAGAAGAAGGAGGATCACCCTCTGTGTCAGAGCTGGGACACCCGTCTTGGCACACTTTAGATATCAGTGCCCTTGGTCCTTCACCCTTTAGAATTGGGCCAGGACTTAGGCCACTGGATCCTTTGCTCCTCACACCTCCTCACAGCCTCATAATCACTTGATAGATCCACCCCTGTACCCGTATCGACATCCCCCTCTATCCCAGGGGCTCTGTTTCTCTGGAGAACCCGGAGCCCACTCCTGGAGATGACAGTCCCGGACACCCACCCCATGGTTCGAGAGTAGGGACTAGACGGTGCCTCCAAGGAACACCGGAGAAGCAGTATTGTGTACGGGTTCCAACCCCAGACTGTGGAACCAGCCTTCTTGGGGCTTAAGCCTGCAGGACCTTGGGACAAATTCTTTAAATATCTTCTTGCCTTAGATTCTTAGCTGAAATGGGGGAGATAGTAGCTCTTACCTTATTAGCATTGCTGTGGGTGTCGAATGCATAAATATCGATGAAGGCCCGTTGGACAGGGTCTGGTATACAGATGTGATCCACACAGTGGTGAGAACAGTAGCGAATGCAGGTAGGACAGTCAGAAGGACAGGCCAGGAAGTCTGGAGGATGACAGGCTCTCTGTCTAGCACCTGGCTGTCCTTCTTAAGAGAGTGTGACTCCAGGTGCTAATACCCGCCCCCCTTTCCACTGCTTCAGGTCTGGGGACAGCAGGAGGCGCGCCCTGCAGCCAGCGTGCATGGGACTTGGCAGCCTCCCTGCAACGAGTCTATCTCTGGACGCCGTTCCAAGAAGGCCAGTTGGCACCAAGGGTGATGGATTGATTCAGACTCCCGAACTGGCTTGACTGAGTTCATTGACCTTTTTTTTCTGCCTGTAGTTGGAGGCATGATTAAGGATCTGGCCACACCTGCTTGGCCACCTGGCCAGCCTTTCTCTTGGCTGCTCCTGTGTTCGTGGAGGTCCAGAGCAGTGTCCTTTCCTACTGGGTGACCTTGGAGGAGCTGGCGTGCGGCAGGTTCATGGAGCCGGAATGTACAGCTCCATTCCGTGAAAAACGAAGGTGTTGGGTTCCAACCTTTATTCTCTGGCTATTCAGAGCCCACGCCTATAATCCCAGTGGCTTGGGAGGCTGAGGCAGGAGGACTGTGAGTTCAAAGCCAGCCTCTGCAAAAGTGAGGCCCTAAGCAACTCAGGGAGACCCTGTCTCTAAATAAAACACAAAATAGGGCTGGGGGGTGGGGCTCAGTGGTTGAGTGCCCCTGAGTTCGATACCTGGTAACCCCCCCTCCACCCAAAAAATAAATAAATAAAAGCCCATTTGGAGCCAGGATATACCCTGGATATTGGTAGAACTTCATGAAGTTGACGTCATTCTTCAAGTTGGCCCACATCATGGTTTAT